CACTGGGACGGTACTCGCTGCAGAACACGAAGAACGCAGACCTGCAGACAGACAGGCTAGAGCTGATCCAGGATCTGCCTCTGTGTTTGAACTCAAACATGAGCAGCCCTGTGCTGCCCCCTGCTGGCACACTCAAACCACAGACTCAGTGTGTTTGGGGTCTTACATCAGTACATGAGGTGTGTCAGGTGCTACCTGGACCTTCAGAGTGTGTTTGGGGTCTTACGGGGTCTTTTGGGGGCGTTGGGGTCTTTCCTCTTGCGGCCCCTCTTTCCGAAGCCTTTGGGGGGGACGTAGTCTTTCATCTCACGGTTGTAGCGCACCTTGTCAGCTTTGGCCATGTCCTCGAAACACTTCTTATCACTGGGAGACAGAGCCTGGAGGCAGAGAGCAGACAGTCAGTGTGTGACCTCTGACCTTTGAACTCCCGGGGTCACACTTACAGAAAACAATGCAGAATAATACAGAATCGATTCAGGGAGAGGACCAGTTTTCCTGCTGGGACCAGTTGAACACAGCTGGAATCCAGATGCTTCCATCAGCAGGTAAGAGCAGCTGCACCTGTCTGCTTCAACCACAGCTGCACACATCTGTCTCAGGGTTTGACCTGAGCTGCAGTCAATCACGATCAGCGACTCCCTGCAGTGGATCTGTGCTGCAGATGTTACAGCTGTTATCAGTCCCTGTTTCAGAGCTTTGTCTACACTGGAATGAAACACGGGAATAATCCAGTCATGTGACCTGCACACAGTCTTTAGAGTTTAGTAACAGCAGAGCGTGAGTTCCTCAAACCTGACCAGATGTGTTCAACTAAAGTGCTCACATGATGTACGAGTCCAGCACACAGGAAGTGATCATTGTTCTGTGGAGCTCATGCTTACATTAAGGGTTGAACTGTTTCCTGTCCCTGACAGTTTACACCTGACAGTACACACACACACACACACAACACACACACACACACAACACATAACTGTTAGCTGCTCGCAGACCTCCTCAGCCCTCCGTGAGGCCCTGAGCTCCTCTGAGCTCCTTCATCCAGTGAAGAAGAACATGTGATCTCAGCTCACACTGACCGTGCTGACTGATGCTCACAACTGCACGTTTCACACATGCATCCAGATGTTGTTCTGTCCCAAACCTCTGGGCCCTGAGCAAACGGTCCTGAGGATGGAGGCTCAGGTGGAGTCAGGGTTTGTCAGAGGAGAGCTCATGGTTATCTGTTGCGTGAGAGGCTGTAACTGTGTGACTGTGACTCATGACTTTAACTGATCCATCACACTAACGAGCCCCTCTGTGAATCGCTACCTTATTGTGGTGGAGGTGTTTGAGAGGGATCCCAGGGGCTATGCTGTCGGGGCTTTTTGTCCCCTGGTAGGGTCTCCCGTGGCAGATTTTGTCCTGGGTGAGGGTCAGAGTGATTCAAAAACCCCTATGAGTGTAAGAACTAGGGAACAGGGTTACCGGGGACCTTTTACGGGCTGTGCAGCAGCCAAGGGCAGAGACCCTGGCAGACCGATCCCCAGTTACCAAAACCAGCATTAGGACATGGTCACCTGTCTGGTGGGGAAGGACCTTAATTAGTGCGTTAAGTTCAGAGGTAGCAGATATATATAGTCAGGCTCGCCTCAACGTACATTCTCAGCAACCCATGGTGGGGTGCTGAGGGCTCCACCTGGGACTCTTGGTGTTCCCCGGACAAGCTGGAGGGGGTGGCTGGGGACAGGGAGGTCTGGGCGACCCGGCCCCTGATAAGTGGGGATGGAAACTAACAGGCTGTGGCTCTGTGTCACTGCTGAGAACTCCTTTCCATCATTACAGAGGAGCAATGAGTGACTCTGTGTGAGGACAGAGCTTTAACTCTGACACACCTGTTGTCCAGCAGCAGCACAGCACACTGCAGTATTTCACTGCTGGGGTTTGTGCAGTAAACTGTGCACCAGACGCTTTAATCACACGTGGAAATCTTCTCCTCCTGAAAGTGACGCTCTCTCAAACTGACTCTGAGCCTCTGCTGTAAATCCACCAGCTTGTTAACATGGAAACAAGCTGCAAGCGTCAGTGGATTTGACTCCAAGTCTCCCTCTTTAACATTAAAACCTTAGATTTCACAGGCTGCATAAAACAACAGATTAGGACACGCTGAGGAAAGTCTAATGTTGTGATATCTTTGGCTCCATCATGAAACACGATGTAAATATCACGATACGTCTTGATGGGCGAGCTGCAGTTTAAGACTCCTTGAATTCAAGTTCATGTAAATATCGGCACGTGTGGCATCCACAGCAGCTAAAGCTCATAGAAACCACCAAGCAGCAAAAACAAACCACAGCTAAAGGAGCAGTTACGTGGTTTAAAACAGAGGATGACTTTCAGCTGGTGGAATAAATCTGTGGTCACGTTACCTGTTGTAGTTTTGCAGGTTACTGCATTTTCTTGGACGTCCTCTTTGTGAAACCAGCAGTGAGTCTGAATCTGCCGCTGTCGCCTTTCCCTGTCTGGTAGTGTAAACACGCACGCTCAGCGCAGTTTTCCATGTGGAGGGGGGATTAATGATGCATTCAAAGGTGTGGGAGAAAAAACCACTCACAGACATTCATACAGCTTAATATGGCCACGACAACCTGTACTCGATGGTTACGACAAAACCATTTTAACCATGGTTAAAATGGTTTTGTCGTAACCCGCCCTGGGTAGGACCAGCATTTTGTAGATCCTCTGACTCATCCTCTGCCCTCTCCTAACTCCAAATCCACTTGTGACCTCGATGAGGAGACAGGATGGAGTTTTGAAACACAGCCCTGCTCTCAGACATCAACATGTTCTTCTACGTGCTCCTCAAACAGCTGCTGTGTGCACTGCTGCCACCTCCTGGTAGTAGCAGCACGTTACAGTCCACAGCTGCCACTAAACACATTTACACACACACAGCAGCTGATTCATAACCGGTCACATCACTGCTCTGCTGACAGACTGACTGTGCTGAGTGCCCAGACTGAGCAGAAGAGAGCTCCGTAAGAACCAGTGCGTTCACCACGCCGTGTGTGTTCTGATGGATTAGAGCTTATTCACATTTCATTGTTTCATTTCCTGTAATTGTCCTGCCTGTCATGTTACAGTGGCTACTCATGATGCTGTGACCGTGTGGAGAGGTCTGAGCTCTTGTACTGAGCAGAGATGGGCAGTAACGCGGTAATCCGATTACTTTTTTCAAGTAACGAGTACAGTAAGGGATTACTATTGCAAAAACGGTAATCAGATTACCGTTACTTTCCCGTAGGAATGCTGCGTTACTGCGTTACTAAAACCGTGATTTTTTGCGAGAATGTCTCACGACAGCGACGTAAGCGAGTGCGCCGTTCATGACAACAGCTGTGTGCAGATCAACAATGGATCATATATCGAGTGCAGAGAGAGTATGAGCGTGCAGCGTTTAAAGCGTGGAAGTACTGACCTTACTTTGAGTTTGATTCCATAAAAAGTGACAAAAACATTAGTGTCCGCTGTGCGTGGGAAGAAAACTTCTTTTTACAGCGAAAAAACCCCTAAACTTCCAACAAGCACCGAGTAGCTACGACGTGATGGGAAACTCACAGAGAAACTCACTGATTCTTCAACTGACCGCTGCACACCTGCACCAGGGTAAACCTCCGCCTACCCCACTCCTGCTTTACAGGTGAAAATAGAGCAACAGGACCGCTGAGTCTTTGACTTTATTTATTTTCTGCTGTGTTTTACTTGCATCAATTTGAAAGACTGAGTGTAAACACAAAAAATATTTTATTTTATGTGCTGGAATGTGCAGAAAATAGGTTTAAATGTTAAACTAATTTCTTCCAGTCAGAGAATGTTGCAGATAATTACATTTTTGCTTGATGCATAAAGTTAAAAGATTAAAACTAATAAAACAAGTTTTAAAAAGAGACTTTTCCATTTGATTACATTTTGTATGATGGATTATGCAGAAAAAGTAGAATTGGGCTGAGAGATCTATCGCTTTATCACCTCTTCAGGTTGTAAATCGTGTTTTTAAAAAGTAACTAAGTAATTAATTACTTTTGAAAATAAGTAATCAGTAAAGTAACAGGATCACTTTTTTGGGGAAGTAATCAGTAATTAGTTACTTTTTTCCAGTGACTTGACCAACACTGATGCTGGGTGATGAAGAGCACAGCAGTGATGCTGGAGCTGCTCGTGATGTCACAGCGACACGTGTGACATCACGAGCAGCTCTGCTGTGGCCTGCAGCTCTCGTGATGACTCCACCCATTCACCTCTGTGTGTGTCGGCCGTGTATGTGACACGTAACAAACAGGTCAGAGGCTGATCCACCTGTGCAGGTGAGTCCTGCACAGCTCAGTGTGAAGCAGGAGGATCCTCTGAGTCTGTGCTGCCTGTAAGCAGCGGTTTCTGCTGCCTCAGAGTGAACGTCAACACTGAGCTGTGGTTTTATTCACCCCGTGCTCCTCTGCAGTTTGTGCTGTGAGGCTCGAGGCACACACAGAACATCGACTCTGCTCACACAGCCTGTTAACCTGCCAAAGGTTTGAATGAGTTCACACTGTAAGTCTGACTGGAGCTGCTGCACAGGAACACCATGACAACTTTTTATTGCTCCCACTATAACCAGTCAAACAGCTGGAGCTGCAGCTTACTGTGTCCTGATAGGACAGCTGAACACAGGTAGGTGAGCTGTTACTCACACACTGATGGGTCAGGTGGTCATGTGACCAGGTACCTGCAGCCCCTCCCCCTCACCTTCCACCTCTCGGAGCACTTCTTGGAGAACTCGGCGAAGTTGACCGACTGCTCGGGGTTCTTCTTGCGGTGCTCCTCTCGACACGTCTGCACGAAGAAGGCGTACGCCGACGTCTTCCCCTTCGGCTTGTTGATGTCTTTACGCATCATCGTGGCGGCCTGAAGAACCACCACAGAAGAAGAAGAGTGAGGGGGACGGAGAGCCGAGGCAGTGCTGCAGACACCAGATATGCATTTATAGACTTGGTCCATAATGTTGTTGTACACGTACAATAACAATAAAGGACTTTATATTTACTCACAATTCAACTCTGACCTGTCAGTAAATACTAAGACACTAGGGTGGCACTTGACCTCTGACCCCTGCTGTGATATAGTTTCATCAGTAATGAAACATGGGTTTATTTTACATTCAGTGTGCTGGTGGTGATTATTGATCACCAAATACTAAACTCCTCACAGAGAAACCTGATGGTCGGACACTGTGGGTCCATGTTATTGATAATACCTGATCAGAGGAGCTGATCGGGGTTATTAACGGGTGTTTTGTTCCTGACAGAGGATCAAACATCACTGACACAATAACGATGAGCGACTGGATTTAACCTTTATTTCAGCTTTAAACACGTTTGTGTGCAATGACCTTTTAACCCGTGAGTCTGCTGTTCTTCACGCTGTGACTTTAACCCATAAACCGGTTATATTCCGCCGGTATGAGCCCGTATCTAACGGTAAATCTCCGGTAACAGCTCCCCGTTGGGCCTCGTTGTGAATAACAAAGGCAGCAGACGGGCTCCATTTTCTTTGCCGGGCAGAGGGAGGCCCTTCGGCAGCCTCTCCTCCTTATGTCCGCGCTGGAAGCTCCCCACGGAGCCCGGTACCCGCTGTACGCCCCGGGCTGGAGGTGTGAGAGCCTCGCTGGGGCGGATGGAGGGGAGTATCCGGGACTCGCGCTGATCTGCGGCCGCTGCGGTTAGCCTAGCCACGCTAGCTTCTCAGAACAATGGACCACCATTTGCTTCCCGCCCTCTGCGGAGCTAGCCGCCCCATCCCCTCTGCTAGCAGCGGCTAACAGTCGCTCGCAGTCCCGGTAAACCCGTAGAGAGGCTGCAGAGAGCACCGCGGGGCTCTCCGGTGATTCACGGACACATTTATCCCAAAGCACCGCCGGTAATGCTGATACGGGCGGTGCTGCAATGGAAACACACAGTCTCTACGTCTACTGCGCATTTTAACGAAGGGCTCCGTCTATGCATCGGAGAGGTCAGCGTTATATAGACGGGGTCAGGCTATTTCCTGGCATTCATACTCCAAAATGGGCGTTTCGTGTTTACAACAACATGTCTGGATCAGTCCTCCGAGAGGGAGCACACAAAGGACCAGGAAGGACACCACATCCCACCACCGCCAGGCTGCCACAGTCAAAGCGGACATTTTATTCCCGTTTTCCAGCTATTATTCCGGATCTTTTCTCTCTGGATGCCCACATCAGAAACAAGATGCCCGGCACATCCAGCTCATGTCCGGCTCAAATACACTGCTATTTTACGGCAGCCCCGCGGTGGAAGGCCGATCGGGGTACTCACTCGTCAGGAGGGCCGGCTGCAGGTGAAACGGACTGGACCGAGTCTGGTTCTCCGGGTCTCGGGTTCTTGTTGTTGTTTGGGGTTGAAGCTGCGACTGGAGCCGTTGGTTCACTTTCAAACTGGGTCGAGCCTGAGACAGGCTCCACCCACTAGCAACGCCCCCGTTGGTCATTCCTATTGAGGGGGCGGAACACTGTTTGCAAACACGGGCGGAGCTCGTCTTAATACCGATCTTTGATTGGTTATAGCCACTGTTAGTCAAATCCAGTTGTGTCACACGGTTCCGCCCGCAGAGCGACGCTACCAGGGCGGGAATTCTACACATAAACAGGGCGGGGCCAAGTTCTAGAACTTCCATCTGTTTCGTTGGAATTTGTGTATGTCAGGTGTTCTGGCCAATCAGAGAAAACGTGGCAGATAACACCGTAGCGATTGAGTGAAAAGGTCTTGAATTTTACAGTATTATTAAATGATTTTTTTACAGTTATAAATACATTAGCAGGTATTTTTAGGCATTTGTCCCTTTGTGTCATATTTTACAGATGTTTGTCAGTTGAACTGAATAATAAACATGAAAAGAGTCCAACTGACCTCTGACTCGAAATTATAAACCGCCTCTCAATCCGGTTGTTCAGTCTGACATCACTAGCCGTGTCTGGGTCTAAACTCCGCTGCAGGTCCATATATCAAACGATCACAGTGGCATTACTGAGAGTTGAAAAACTGTCTAAAGTCTTTCATCTTTAATAAAATAATCAGCGTTCTGCTCTACCAGGTGTAACAACTGAGTTTAACATCCAGGCATCCATGAAATCGGAATTTATGACATTTAAGGGAGTTAGAAGTTAGCAGGGAGTTAGCTCGCTAGCTTCTATCTAAATACAATATAGCATGTCCTGACTGCGGGGTTTTGGAAACAAATTAAAACGTACAGCTCTGCTATCACTTCCAGCATAAATGAAGACAGAAAACTAAACAGCAGTGACGTTTGTAGGGTTACTGAAGTTTGGCTAGCTGGTATATAATGATGTGCTACGTGACCGCTAGCGACACAGCTATGTTAGCATAATATAAACAAGCTAACTTTTTTCCCACTCGATAAAAGTTAACGTGAGTGTTCTCGGTGGTCAGGAACAAATGTAATCGCATGGCAGGATGCTGTAAAAGGACCAAACTTCAGCCAGGAGAACAACTGAGATAATCCATCCACAATACAAGGTTAGTCATTCATATACTGCTGCATGGGCTGGGCTGTAGTTACATCCTAAGGTTTTAAAAACTGAGCTTAAATAAATGATTAGTGGTAATAAAAGCCGAGGGAGGTCAACAGTGATCACTGACTGTTTTAGGAGCTTTTTGAGATCAAATAGAAGAAAATACAAAACATTAAACATGTTAACAACACAAACGCCATATTAAACGCAGACTACTTTAGGCCCGGAAGCAGGATTCGTCACGTCATCACTGAACAACCGGATAGAGATTGAAAATGTGACGTCATTCAGGGGTAAAACCACAAAGGATTCTGGGAACTCGTGGCAAGTGGTACTAGCGCACGCAGGCTTTCAATTGAAATCAGTTACACAGCGATAAAAAGAAATAAAAAATGGCAAGAAGCTGTTGTATTATTAACTGCACAAGCCGGGCGAGCGACAGCCACGTGAAGCCGACAGGTAAAGCGATTGGTTTTTATCGGATTCCGGCGTGGAAGAGAAATTGTCCAAGCCATGTCTCCCAAGTCAAGAAGAGGCGACGGATGGCCGGGATTGCCACTATCCGAAGACCTAATACACCGTTCGAAAACACTCCAGCTCACATGTTAGTCTGCTCCAAGCATTTCCACAAAGGTCAGTGTTTTGTAGTAGTTAATACATCTTATATGGCGCTGAACAGAAATCGTGCTATGCTCCTTTGTTTATTGTGGCAGTGTGTAATGTTTGCTGTGTTTTGTAGGCAAAACAGCATACGAAATGCGAAATACATAGACAAAAACATATACTTTTATTCACAGGATATATGACAGATTTTTGTATCATTAATAACCCAGTAGGATTACAGCATACAATATTATTGTCACTGCTACTGTAACAGTCATAAATCACATTGTTATAATTTCACAAAATGTGTTCTAAACTCCCAAACTGCTCCTTTTATACCTGACTTTTAGGACCTGTAGTTGTGTTCATTATCAATTAGAGCCCCTCATTCTTTTCTTCTTTTTCTTTGGTGCAGTACTATAAATACAGTGTACCCCTTTTGCCTTTCCCCTTTTCTACAATTCCCCTGTGGGAGAGGTGGGTGTCATTTCTTTCCAACACTTTAAAACACACATAATTCATATTTAGCCACCCTGATGTTTATGATTGCAATTTTAGTTCAATTATTGTCATTATTAAGCCTGTTTTTGTTAGATGTTATAAGTGTGTAGTATGTGTGTATCATAAATGTGTTTTAGGCACCATAAATGCTAGCATGAATATATACTCCTTGCTAGCTTGGAAGTTGTGGTGGGTTGAGCTAACCCTCTTCCCCACTGTTTGTATTTGGTCATAGGAGCTGGAGTGGGCAAATTATTTACTTGGTCTTTCTTTCTTTTACCTTTTTTATCAGGTATGTTGGATTTCATGTTGTTGTTTTTTTTTATTATCTTATGTCAAATATGTTACGTGTAAATGCATACTTTATGTTTAATGTAAAAATAAATGCCCTTTTCTACAATTCCCCTGTGGGAGAGGAGCTGGAGTGGGCAAATTATTTACTTGGAGGTCTTTCTTTCTTTTACCTTTTTTATCAGACACAACGCAGAAGCACACCGGTTACACTACATTTCTGTAATCAGTACCAAAAATTATTTCCACTACTAATTCATTACCGTTGAGTTTAAAGGTCCTATTAATAAACGGTTAACGAATGTGTATTTATGAAGATGATTTGTAAGGTAAACTTTCGTTCTACACGGTGCTTTTCAAAGTCCTGTACCCATCTGTCGGTAAACTGTATCTGGGCTTGTGTATGTGTATGCACTCACTCCAAGAACCGTATAGTTATAAATATGAGCGTGGTGAAAGTTGGGCAGCACGCTAACGTCTTTTGTCCACTCTGTGTGCTCGTAAGGGTCTGACCCTTTCACTCCTTTGATTTTTTCCTCATATCTTTTCTTTGCATTTTCGTCGAGTCTGTCTTTGTAAGGACCGGCATTGTTCTCCTTCATTTTGTACATTCCTTTTTTGGGGGCAAAGAAAAAGGTAATTGCACGTGACTTTCGCACATTGCATGCTGGGTACTCGTGGCAAAACAATCCAAGCAATGCATCAAACGCAAGCATTTACAGCACTGCAAAACGTTCATTCTCCGGTTCCAATACTTTCTTGCTTTTTCTTTGCTCCCCAAAAAAGGTACAAAGGTATACGAGTATGTGCATGAGAATTTTAATAAAGCGCTGCCACACAGTCACACCATCCACACTGTGTAGTGTCTCAGCTGATCCTGGATTTACAGCAGCATCTTTCAGAGCACCGAGAAGTCATGTGGAGGCAAACAGAATAGGGAAAGGACACAGTGTGTGCTCTAATGATGGATGAAACGTACATCCACCGGATGACTGAGTTTGCAGGGGACCAGTTCCAAATACAGTCACTGGTGAAGCTGACAACACACTCGCCACCCGGGCCTTGGTCCTCACGGTTGTGGCTGTCAATGAGTGATGGAAAATTCCCATTGTGTACTTCCTCATCGATGGATCAGAGAAGGCCAGTGTCATCTGCAAATAGGTAACAGGCTAAAACGACTCATTTACAGTGGAGAAAACAAAAAAATGAAAGTCCACGTGGCAGCACAGCTCTTCAGCAGAAGTGTAGCGGATGCAATGGAGTCTGTGAACAAGGCTTGAAGTTGGAGGACTTTAAAGGTTGAGCTGCAACTGTAGAGTTTGTGCGCACTGTAGATGCAGCTTTTGATGCAGCCGTAATCCTCCTGGAAAAGGTTACAAAGCTCCAATGAAGCCAACAACTAAACACAGGGCTGAGACCAGCTTGAAGGATGCTTCGTGGGGTGAAGGTCCAGCAGTATGACAAAATGGTGCCACTTCACACAACAAAAAGAAGACTGCCATATATGGTTTCGTTGCTAATGGCATAAGTGCACTTAACATCTATAATGAACTTGTTGAGAGGACCGATGCCCCGTGCAGGTATCTTCTGACCTTGAAACTGAGTCGGGACCACTTTGAGCTCTTCTTCACTGCCATAACAGCAAGAGGTGGGCACAATCCTAATGCCAGACAGTTCAGGGAGCCTACGTATACATCTGTGGCTGGCACCGCCCTCGGATCCTCGGATCACAACACGGTGCATCTTCTGCCAGTTTACAAGACTGTACTGAGAAGAGAGAAAGTGAGGAAACACCGCATAAAGGTTTGGAGTGACGATGCCTCTTTAGCCCCGCAGGGCGGCTTTGACTGTACAGACTGGTCGGTGTTTATAGAATCATGTAGAGACATTAATGAACTCACTGACGTTGTCTGCAGCTATATCTCCTTTTGCAGAGACATGATTATCCCCTCAAAGGCTGTGCATTTTTTCCCTAATAACAAACCATGGTCTTCAAAAGCTCTTATGAGGCTGATTCACGAAAGGAAAAAAGCTTTTATTGAAGGGAATATCTCGAAAGTTAGAGAAATTAGGAAGGAGATCAGATTAGAAATTAAAAAAGCCAATATAAAATACAAGGATAAGGTAGAGGCGGAGATGGGCAGCAATAACTTCATTGCTACATCATTAAATGATTTTAGGCCTGTCGCTCTAACATCCTTAGTGATGAAGTCCTTTGAAAACCTTGTCAGGAAGGAGATCCTGCAGCAAGTAGAGAAGCTGATAGATCCACTACAATTTGCCTACAGGCCTTGTAGAGGTGTGGATGATGCAGTGGTCACTCTGTTGAACTTCCTTTATCGCCATCTTGATGGCGCCAAAGCTCATGCTCGGCTCTTATTTATTGATTTTTCTTCAACTTTTAATAATATCCAGCCACATCTTTTAGCTGATAAACTTCTTAACCAGTTTAAACTTGATTTTAATCGTGTTGGTTGGAATTTAGACTTTTTAACTGACAGATCTCAGTGTGTGAGAGTAAACGGCTGTTTTTCCAAACAGCTGAACTCTTCCACTGGCTCACCACAAGGTTGTTGTC